CATGTCTCATTTAGAGTCTCCTTGGTTACTCTTTTGATAATCAGCATCGAACGATTCAGAGCAACAAGAAGGACATTGCAAAGATCGCATGCTTACACATTTAGACAACGCGTTGCAGTAGTCGGTATCTCCTGGTTGATTCCTATGACATTGCAGTCTTACAATTTGTATTACCGTATTTTGTCAGAAAGGGGGCATTGTACTTTTATGGAGTATAAAGTTTATTCTAAATTTGCTTCGATCTTTTTATGTTTGGACGTTATTTTTATGATTGTAATATTCGCACTTAGTATTTCAACAATAAGACGGCTGTCAAGACCTCTTGCCATYCACGCCCATCTCAATCAAGAACAAAGAAAAGCTCGAGCTCGTCGAATACAAGCAGCCGTACGGATGGTTATTGCATCCGTAATGCTGTATACGTGTTGTTGGCTTCCAGTGTTTATCTATAATAGTGTTCTTTTGAACGTGGATGTTTGGGGTAATACATGGATTGTCCCAGACTGTATAGACCGCAGGYCACTTGTGTTTATCAGCGGTTTTTTCTTCCCTCTTGTCAACAGTTGTTTCAGTCCGTTTATTTATATCATATTTCTGTCTGACTTTCGAGAAGGAGCAAGGAAGGTACTGTGTAGAAAAACCGACAGAAACGAGAACAGAAGAAACTCAATGGAACTGCGACAAATGGCAAACAATCCGCCATTAGAGCCTGAGGCGAGAAGAAGAAGAAGATATTCCAATGACGAAGAAGAGCAACAAGTCTAAAATATAACTAGTGACGTGTTTGTCAAGCAATACAATAGACTGAGAGTAACGATGTTGATATTCAAGAACATGACAAAACTGTTAACGAAGTAATTGTATAATGCCAAAAAGTTACGTTATAACACCATGAGCCATGCAAACGGAACGTGAACATGCATAACGGCAGAACTTAAAACTCGGCGCTATTGAAGGAGATCGTCGTGCAGTGTCTAACTTCAGGAATTACATATGAACGTAGAAACTGATAAACATTTGTAGAACAGAGAAAGCTTGCTGTACATTACCGCAACAGAAAATATGTAAACGATCTTTAATTTGAATAATTAAATGGTAGAAATTGTTTTAGATAGATTTGATAGGTTTTCACGGTGTGCATTGTGTGCTACCGAAGGCGACAACTGTTAAACAGGAATAGACCCCGTTGATCAAAATCGACATATATCAATATATAATTGAAACGGAGTGTCTAAACGTCAGGCAGTCGTTTTGTTTTTTTT